CTCTGGGGAAGAGATACTTTTTATATCACCATCTAAAAGTGGTGACACATTGTCACATGGTCTCTGTTTTTTATGGCAGTTGACGATTGGCATCTGTAACAAATGATGGTTACATTTTGCATGTTAATGCCTTAGAGCCTTTTTTTTTTTTTTTTTATTAAAAATATTTATTCTCTAAAATTAAAATCAAATACATAATAACACTAGACACTTTTAATAAGTGTATCAGCGTGAAAACATTTAAATATTAACCTGAGTCAAATGGAAATGAGAAAAAAGAACAATTTAAAAAATATTTACTCAGTTAAATGAGAATAAAATTGATAACAATATATAAAATCTACATATATGCTTGTCAGTAATTCAGTTCAGAATAGGTTGATGTCATATGAATTTTAAAATTCTTTTTAAAACAGTTAATGGAAGGTAATGTTTTCAAAGAAGTTGGCAGATTATTCCAAAGCTGAGCACCTGAATATTTTATTGAGTTTTGACCTATAATTGTTCTAAATTTTTTCATGTGAAGGCAATTTTGGAATCTTGTCTCATGTTCATGAAATATCAAATTTGGAGTAAAATAATTTTCAAATATGTCAAAAGGAAAGCCATCGGGTTTTGTTGTGTATTGATAAAGAAATTTTGCAACTTCAAGCTTATGTATGTCAAAAATATCTAGAAAATTGAGTTGTTTAAAAAGAGGTGGGCTATGTGCTAAAAAGTCAGAATTTGTGATTATTCTCACTGCACGTTTTTGTAACAAAAGCAATTTATTTAAAAAGGTTTTACATGCATTACCCCATATGATGTTGCAATAGTTCAATTGTGATAATATAAGTGAATTATAAATGGTAATCATGGTTTTTGTATTCAATTTATATTTAATCTTTCCCAGAATACCAATAATTTTAGATATTTTATGTATAACCTTATTTATGTGCTCATTCCATTTTAATTTACAATCAATTGTTACTCCCAGAAAATTTGTATGCATTACTCTTTCAAGAATATTACCCCCTATTTTTATATTAAAATCTTGATTTTCATCAATCTTTAACTTTGATCTTGTAAATAGCATATAATTTGTCTTGTCTATATTCAAAGAAAGTTTATTTGATTTGAACCATTCTAATGTCTTTTCCATTTCTAGATTTACATTTCTATATAGATCATGAAGGTCTTTGTTTGAACATAAGATATTTGTATCATCTGCGAAAATAGTAAATTTAAGAATATTTGAAACCTTATGTAAATCCACCAGGACATTAGAAAATCATGACACTTCTATGTATTAGTTACATTCATTTTTATTACATTTATTCTTAAAGGGGGATTTCAAAGTTACTAGCAACTCACATTAAAACATCAGGATACATCAACACTCTAATGTGGTAGAGAAAGGCAGGATTAGTAAATTTAATAAAAAGTGTTACTAAATAATCAATAAATCAAGACTGATCAATTTCAGAATCAATTGTGATAGTCAGAGGCTTATGTGACTAACTGATATAGATTCAGGGTGTCATATAATGTCATTCCACTCTTTAGCATTGATCTGCCAAGAGTGCTCTTCATTGACCTTCTGCTGTGTTAACTGGTAAGTGACAAATATGAGGATGTATTTTGTGATCAAAAGTTATTTTAAACCAGGAAGGAAAGGTTGTTTACTTTTTATTTCAATTTCTAGACTATTTTATTTGAAGATACAGATGTGACTTTTTACATGTAGGAAACACCTTGAGCAGATGATGTGAATGTGAGTATATTTTCATTGCACCTCAGATTGGCATCTGTGTTGTGTTATGTTAGCCAGGTGTCAGACAGTAGATTTTTGATTTTTCTGAGATTTTGGGAAAGAAATTTAGAACTGGTTAGTTTTTGGGCATGCTGACTAAATTTAATGGTTTCCACCGGAGGTTTCCATTTTGGATTTTTCTCTCTAAAATCTAGTTTATAAAATTTTAGCTCACGACCCTCACGTGTTATTATTAGGTCTGCTTTGGTATTTTGTTAGGATTCAGAAAGGACCATTTTAGCACTTGTAATACTAACAACCACTCAAACAATATGAATATTGAAAAAATTGAGCTCAATTTAGATTCACTATTTGGACATGTTTACATATCTATTACATATCTTAAGAGTAGCATACATTTTGGTCCACTTCTGTATGGCTTAAAATTATTATTCTGTGATTTTTGAGATGCCATTTGCATTAATTTGACCATGTACCAAGCTTCTCAAAATTTAGCTTTGTCTGTACTTTTAGTTCAAGAGAAATCTCAGTCTGAACTGAGATTCAGATTTTAAGAATTATCCAGAAAGTCACCCTTGCAAAGATTGTATTATTCTTTGATTTTGACATAATGCTAGCATAAATGACATAACATGTTGGTAATAAAGATAACCTGTAACTGGATTAATCTAGAACCTTGAACTTCCTAGCATAGATTGCATAACATTTTGATAATAAAATTTACCCCTATTGTTAGGACATTGACCCCCTAAATAAATCTACCCTTCAGATGATCAGTAAATGTTTAATAATTCTCCTGGGGTAAATACAGGAATAAAACCTTTGTTTAAAATAAGATTTAATTCCTTTGAGGATCAAAAGATTGATATCTTGAAGAACTACATGTTTATAGTTTATTTTTAGTTGCTGTTTTGTTGATATATTGATCCTAAGTGCATAATAGTTGTACCAAAACAAATAGCAACCGCTTTCCATTATATTTAAACATTAACACCACTCTTTAATGCACTGCTCAGCCTATAATTCAACATTGATTCCAGTTCTGAAGCTAAAATCATAAATCAGGAATTATCCAAGGAGTTGGTTGAAAAGTATTTATACACCATTGCATCTCTAAGGGAAAATTTATGTTATAAATTGGGAGTAGTCTGTGTAGACTGTTCAGTGCAGCTGTACTCACAAAAGCATGAACCAGGTAATCATTCTGCCTACTTCATAGTTACGAGTTGTGTATCACTATCAGCTCTAGGTACATGTACATTCTAAGGAGAACTTTACAATTTTGATTTGGCAATTTAGTTTTTTTTCATGCTACATTTTTGTAATTTGATTTTATGATTATTCCAAGTTACCAACTTTTAGACTTGTAGACTTGAGCAATGAGGTTCATGATAACTTTCCAGATACATATATAATTATATAACTTTACTTATAGTAAGTAAAAGAGGTCTTTTTAGGCCTGTTCAGAAAAATAAGCTCCAAGTTGCCAAAAACAAAATAAGTTCTCAAAAAGTAATCCCATGTTTTCAGTGCAAATGTAAGGGTTTTCAATAAAGTCCCTCACCCCATGCCAATTTCGAGACCTAATCCTGGTACTGTAGAGCATAGAATTATTTGAGGTTCTATATTTAATATAGGTTCATCAAAATTCTCCTTTAAATTGGGGCCTTTAAATTTTTCTTCATCTGTTGGTCTTTTGGTAGGCTATGGATATCTATGGTACACTGAATACTGATTGAAATCTTCATTATCATTTCACCAAGAAGTTATATTGTTTTAATCACACGGTGCCATATAAATCTTGCCATCAAAATCTCTTAACCTGGCTCTTAATAATTTAACTTGAGCTTTTTACAGATGCAAGAACCAAGATCTGATTTTTTTAGGCATCCTGGGTAAATTACATGGTGGTCATTTAGCTCTAAAATATTTATCACAGTGCGTCTTGTTTAAAGGTTTTTATGTCGCCACCACAAGCGGTGATGCATTATTATAAGTCTCCAACTTTTTTGTGTCCCGTGTTTGTCAGTTGGTGCTCAGCGTATGTTACAAATGGTAGGTGGGGACATTTTGCGTATTTATGCCTTGTTGATAAATCTTGTCATCCCCATTCCAGAAATCTCTTTTTTCAAATTTGTACTCATGCTAGAGAGAACAAGCAATACAGATCACAGCCTTTTGGGGGGCCACTTGGTGACTAATTTGTTCTACCTCATGTACCTTGTTTGTTTCCATATATATATATCTTGTGTATTATTAAACAATCAACCTAGTATTATATATCAGGATTATTTTACTTCTCTTACCTAATCAAACAATCAATAGATGCTGCATGTTTGAAATCAGTTTTGATGAACTGTTTAGGAGTTACAGCAGTTACCCAAACCTATTACATATTAGACTGTTTTATATTTGTACCTTTTGAGAATACCTTGATCATTTTTTGAAAATTGTTTCAACATATTGAGTAGAATCAACAAGGAATAAAATAAAATTCTATAGAAATACCAGGAAACAGGAGCTTCTCTTATAATACTTTATAGAACATATTCCCAGTGGCGGATCTTGGGGGGGGGCGGCAGTGGGCCCAGAAAATGTTTTTAGTTTTTGGGCCCCAAAACTTTGTAGGGCATGTTAAAATTTTACACATCGTCAATTTAATGGTCATCTTTCAGATGGTAACATTATAATTTGAAATATATATATATATACTCTTCTCTATACTGTTTCTTGGTATCATATGTTCGGAATTGAATGAAACATCTATCCGAACCTCATTGGAACAAAACGACATAAACACAACGTGTTTAGGTCTCTCAATATTGTAATTGTACAAAGGATAGTTTGGTTGATTTTAAAAAAGTATCTTGTTAATGAAATAAAAGGTTTATCTTAACGAAAAACAATTGCACTAAAAAAACAAAAAATGTTAACAAAAACAGTTATAAAAATATATATAAATACTTTTTGCAGTAAATTGTTGCCAATCAGTCAACATTACATAAAGGACCATGTTTTTTACAAAATGTTTTTGATAATTGGTTTAAGAGAAAAACATTGTTGAATTCAGTTCACCATATCGATACCTATCCTTTGGCCTTTTTAGGCCTTTTTTAGGTCCAATTTTTGGTTTTAGCGGCCCAAAATTCTTTTCCAGACTTAAAATTTGCCATCCGCCACTGTGTTCCTGTATTGAATATAACAAGGGCATGATGTAATGTTAAAGGCTTTTCTTTGTTATTTCCAGGTATGACTAAATCCTGGGACCAGAAGAAAGACTCAGTAAGCTGACACAGAATTCTCTTAGATATATTATTCTATAGCAGGTAAGATATTAAGCTGAATATGTATTTGAGTCTACTTTAGTTATGACTGTTTTAAATGCTTTTTATGACCTGTTGCCGCAGTCTTTGACTATATGATTGAAAACATGATTGCTTCAATTCAACATAATGGCAACCACCCTTGGAAATGAATTGCCCAATAGACTTTCAAGTTCATTGCAAAGAATGAGTAGAAACAAACGATGTCTGTAACAAATGGTGTCTTTAATTATTGGTGTCTGTAACCAGGGCCATAGGGAGAGGGGGTTCATGGGTTCCCCCCCCAAAAAAAAAATCTTGGCTAAAAAATTCGAACCCACCTTTTCTGGCAATTATGGGAATCCCCCCAAATTTTGAGTTAATGTTTTGTAGTATTTCAGTAATTTATCATTTTTTGATTACTTTAGATATTCAAGGTATATGCAAAGATGGAAATAAGTGAGATGTATAACTTTATTTTGAGTAAAATGACTTAGAATACAGAAAAATGATCTATTTTGAGATGGGCAGTAATAGGTTTGCACTTTGCATTTGAGGCCTGAAATACTGTTCTAATACCATCAAAACGAATTCAATTTTACAAATAAAGCATACTTACCAAGCATAAACTGTCTAATATGGATGTAAGGCCAAAATTGTCCCTAATTATGATATAAATCAGAAGTTTGAACATGTGAAAGTTCAGTGATGCAATGCACGTGATACACCAAAGTTCTGAACGCTAAAAACTCTATTTTTGGTCAGGAATCATTTTCAAAATTGTTTTCTTTCATTGGAACTCACATTTTTTGCTCATTTTTTTGCCCTTTATTTATTTGAAGATCATATTGTGCAAGTAATGGAAAATAGGCAATTGAATTATACAACCTATGCTTGAATTAAATTGGGGTAGTCTTTGTCTAATAATGTCCTTGAGCTTTTTATTTTAGATTACTTTTTCTGACCAATCAGAAAGTGGTAAAAACATAAAATAAAGGGATATTAACGAGCCTTTGTTGAAAAAAGTTCTAGATTTTTGCCTGTAAATGTTCCAAATGAACGAAATTGGTCAAAAATTGGGATATTTCACATGTCTTATGATTTTGCCCTTGCAATTGTTTGGCAAAGGTAAAACTAAATTCCAGCAAACTGGCAAAAATTAATAAAATTGACCAAAATTAAGCAAATTTGGCATAACTTGAGCAAATTTGGCAAAATTTAAGCAAATTTGGCAAATTTTAAGCAAATTTGGCAAAATTTAAGCAAGTCTGGCAAAATTTAAGCAAATTAGGCAGAGATTAAGTAAATTTCACCAAATTCACTGTTAGGTGGCACCTAAAAAAATTTGCCGAAAATATTCGAACTCCCTCCTGTCAAATCCTGGCTACGCCACTGGTAACAAATGGCAGGTAGTGAAATTTTCCATGTTAGTGTCTTTCTTTGATTAGACTACATGAGTAATATTACAGGCAGAATATCCGCATATGTTTTTAAAAAGTGAACTTCATGTTTGTGTGTATGTGAAGTATGTGATATGCTTGAATCACTAAAGTGTAATTAAATGTTTTGTGTTATCTATTTGTACCGTGTGGTACTTCACTATCAGCAATTAAGTTGTTCTATTGGCACTATTAACATTAAATGTTAAGATAAGTTCAATATTTTTGTAGTATGATTTATCAATCCCAATAATAATTTATGTTTAGTAAAAGAGATATTCAAGGTGTTGTCACTAAGTTCAACACATAAATAATATCATTGAATTAGTAATTAAGATATCTACACAATCGTGTTGTACTTGTATTATATTCTTAATAAGAGGGGATGTTAAATATTATTCGAAATCTTGTTGAAGTCTCATTTTTAATAAGGAGATTTGCATTTTTAACCATTAAAGACCAATAGTTTTTCTATTTGATGGTATATTTGGATTCTCTCATGTATATTTGAAAACAACTTTTATATATGTTTTTTTTAGCTTTTTCAATTTTTTCTCCTTATTCAAGATTTTCAATTTTTCTGAAAAAGGTCGGGCTAAATCCCCATTAAGTGACTCTTATCATCTACATGTATTATGTCCCTACCAAATACTACCAATTATAACATACCTATGATGATGTATAGTGCAAAGTGTACACAAGACAGCGGGCCAATATAAGTTTTGAAAAGCCCGCGCCCACCAACTTTCTGATTGGTCAAGGCGCTGACGTCATAACCAATCAATCGAAGATAAAACTGCGCGAGCAATTTTTCTAAACTCATTTCAATCATTTTCAAACCATTTGTTTGTCAATTCTATAGGAAAACGGTACTCTCTGACCAGTCTACATCATCATAGGTATGTTATAAATCGTTTATGTCACTATCGTGGCACATATGCCCTCGGTTCTCAGAGATCAATGTCCCTCCCAAGGTCGGGCCATATATCACTGAGACCTCGGGCATATATTAGAGGTGTCAAGTATTAACCCGTTAACCGGTTAACCGCCGATAATGCCTTGACCGGTCTGTGTTTTTATGGGTGGTTAGTTGACCGAATATTGCATGCTAATCTGTTTGGTTTTAAAGTGTCAGTTTCACGTAAGCTACTCATACATGTCATAAGTCTGATAACTCTTTACAAATATCCAATCAGCAACTTTAATCCCTGCCACATTGCTTTTCCGCGCTTACTTTGCATGTTAATCTGTTTGTTTTCCAAGCGTCAGTTTCATGTTAGCTACTCATACATGTGATAGGTCCGATAAGTCCTCACAAACATCCAATCAGCAACTTTAATCCCTGCCACATTGCTTTCCCGCACTTACTTTGCATGTTAATCTGTTTGTTTTTCAACTGTCAGCCATGTGTAATCAACTCATAGGCCAGATAATTCCTTACAAACATGTATACATTTTTCGCATTTTTTAATTCGTTAGTTTTGTTATTATTGTTGTCTATCAACGTCGCCAAAATGTCAAAGGTCAAAGTCTCGCTTTGGTAGTGAGAAAATTAAAATTAAAATAAACACTAATCAGCTGCAATTCTCGTTGTTATGGTGCGTTCGTGGAGATTCCAAAGGTAACACCCCAGTCACATTTCCTACGGCGACCTTGCGGTCTATCATTTCTGCGGCCAGTAACATTTCTACGCTCGCTGTGGAATTTCTGCGCTCTCATACTTTTGCAGTCACATTTCCTACGGCAGCCGCACGGTGAATTTTAAATTTCTGTTGTTAAATAATACTTTTTTCATTTTATTTACATCGGGACAACTTATAAATGTTATTCATAGTGCTAGGATGTAGTATCAAATGAAAAGTAATCGTAAAACATTGATAAATAATGATTTAATCTTGTTGAGCCAGTTGATTTCTACAGCGACCTCAGAAATGAACAAAAATTATAACTCCGAGTTATAATTTCTACGCCTTCCCTGCGGCCTGTAAAAATCTGCATACGCCGTACGGAGGCCGCAAGGCGAGCGTAGTTTTTCTACGCTCGCCGCAGAAATTCACCGATTTAACTGATCTGCGGTCACCTTGCGGCCGCCGTGCGACAAATGTGACTGGGGTGTAAACTAGTCTGGTAAGTAATTTAGGTACAGGTAGTCTATGAATAGAATAGAGAAAAGCTTGACGAACGTAAAAAATAAACGCCGATATATCATTTTTTCAATTTTTTAAACTTTCGAGATCGAAGATTTCATTTGAAATTATCAGTTCAAATTTCCCGCCGGTTAACCAACTTTAACCGGTAAAAACACCCGGTTAACCGGTTAATGCTCAAGCAGTTAATTGACACCACTAGCATATATGCCACGATAGTGACATAACCTCTAATTATTACATGTTCTGCCATCTATTGTACGTAGTTCATTGACAGCAGACTTTCTGAGAGTGAATTTGATATAATAAAACTGATACTAAATATGAGCCAGGCCACAGGTAAAAGGGTCTTATCACAGATTTTTTCAATATTCTGACTTTTTGTTTATCTTAAAAAACACAAAGAGACCTTTCAAATGAGCCATGGCTTATGTCTTAACATTTTTTCCTTGCATATATAGACCAAGAAGTCGGATTTGAATTTAGGCCAGGCTCATATATGATTTTCACACATTATTGTTAAAAGACCTATTATAGTCAAAACACATTCAGTTTGTATACTACAGAACACAAAAATCAACTAAAAAAACAAGAATCTTCTTTTCTCATCTCTGTCTGTTGTGTTCAAATCTATGTCTTCTGTGTTCATATCTCTGTCTTTTTGTTCATATCTGGAATACAGTACTGAATTATATAAGAGTATTTTTGTTCTACGTTCCGAACCGAGAGCCTGTGTAGTTATGTGAATCAGAACAAATTGACATGTATACTTATACTAGCACTTACTGATTGATAAAGGACTCCAGACAACATGACATAAAGTCTGTGACCTGGTATGATCTCATCCTGGAGCCCAGACATATAACGAGGAAAAGCAACTAGCTTCCTCTATATTGTATCATAAATCTGTCATTGATTGATATGAAGAAGTAGTCGACAGGTCAATGATTGGCATAAAAAGCTTTTGAAATTAATATCAGAGGAAACAAATAAATAAGCTGCATTGTTGTTCATCTCAAGCAATTCCCTAACAAAATATTTTTATTCTACTGTTAAAGCCTCATAGCCAGAGGAAGAGTAAAGAGCTAGTACACACCCTGTCCCCTTCCAAAAAATTACACTGATCAGTGCCAATTTGGCTAATAGAGGCCCATTTCCACAAAGTGGCAGCCTTTGCTGTTGATGGGATTTGCTTCATTTTGGCATTGCTGTTATCTAGTTTGACACCCTATGATACTTCAAATACAGTTGGCCCAATATCATTCAATGGGGCACAGTAGGACCTAGTTGGGCAAGTGGGACTTTTCCCCTTTATAGTGTTTGTTGGGCTTTGTTTATTGGCTAGTATACATGGATTATTTTAAGGCCTACACATGAAATATAACATTTGCCAATGATAGAAAACATGCAAATGATACCAATGTTATTCTTAGGGCTG